AATCATATACAGTGTATATTGACAAAATAAAAATTTAACGAAAAAAAAAAAAAAAAAGAAAATGAGAAGGTCATTGTGAAAATGACGAGATGCCACAAAGAAGGTGCTCCACAGGCCAGTTCCCTTCCCTTCTTTTAGCCTGGAACCCGTTTGTATACAGGATTGGAGAGGAGAAAGTGGACTGGGCAGAAAGGAAGGTCAGTGCCATGTGAGGCCCTGTGGCCCGCAGAAGGTCAGAATGGCCTTGCCACTTGGAAATTGGGTTGGCCCTCTGAATGAGAGTTGTCCTGCCTTAGGTTTCACATGGGCCTAACTGCCTGTGGAGTTAGAGATTCCCTCATGGGCCTTTTGTGAAGCCTGTATTTGCCTCATGGTTACTGGACCAAAGACCAGGGAGTGGGTCCTGCTGGCAGGGCTGGGCTGTTGGATGACAGCCAACATGGGGAGGAGTGCTGTTTCTCTGGCTTATCCTCTTCTGACCTGCCAGGAGTCTTGGAGCAAATGTTTTTGAGTCTGGGAGAAGCTGCCCTGGGAGAACAGTCAGAGGGACAAAGGCTAGGAGCAGGGACAGCTGTGGGAGCCCTGCCTGGGATTAAACACGTGGATTAAACGCGAGCAGTGCATCCTCAGAGATGGGGAACCTGGGGGTGGGCATGGGGGTTATGGCAGTTAGTGCTAGGCAGGGAGAAACCAGGGGAGAATATTCTGCCATTTTCCCCAGAACAGCAGAAAGGATGGTGGTGGGAAGAAGGTTTAGTATCCGTGATGAGTTTGAGGGTCCCCAACACATTCACATCTGTCACTGCATTGGATCTAGGGATTTTCTAATGGAGGTGGGCTTCTGAGGCCATTTAAATGGTGGAAGGGAAGGAATGTGGCTAGGACTAGTTGAGGATGAGGCCGCTGCTGGAGCTTGGGGGGCATCATGTGGCATGGGGACAGTGACCCCAGGGATGAGGGAGCAGGACAGCTGGGGGTGCCAGGGAGGGACTTGAAGCCCCCGTAGCCTCTGAGGCCCTGGCCTCTGAGGTGTGCTCTGGCTCCTGAGCTGCTCTTGAATTCCTACTCTTGTGACTTCCTTCTTTCTGCCCCGGTCTCCCCCCATGCCACCCTGTTGCCATGGTTACATACACAGGCAGTGCCCAGCAACCACCAAGATCGTTTCACAGTAGCCCTGCCCCAAAGCCATAGCAATCTGGTTGCTGAGCAAACTTCTGCTTGTGGATGTCCTCTGGGGAACCATTCCCACTTGACACAGGTGCCAGTTTGCACAAGTCCTGAGGACCCCGAGAAGATGCCTTCCCTCCTATCTGCCTATTGAGGGGCTGTCACCAGGCAGAGGATTGTGGTGCTGGGATCCTCTCTTCTATTACTATTCTTCTGATCTAATTAACACCCCTCCCTCCCACCAGACACACAGTCAGAGGCACTGTTCTCATAACTGTCAAGGTCTAGGGTGGATGCGGGAAAGTTTCCATAGTAGGCCCAGAGTCTGTCTGTCTGTCTTTCTCTCTCTCACACACATCACTCGTTCTACAAAGTTCCATGTGTGAGGCAGCTACAGAAAAGAGTTGGACGGTCACTGCTCACGATCTGCAGACCCTGGATTTGCCCAACCAGGCTTCTCCCCAGCCCTGCAGACCTCCTGGCCCTGCCCACTTCCAGCACGACCTCTCTGTCCCACCCCAGTGCTAGGTCAGCTTCCCCTGGCATACATGTGCATCCTATAGGAGCCCTGTCCCTGGGTCTTCCATCCTCTCACTCCCTAACCGCCACTCCCCACTGCTGCCTGGTGGAGGCTGCCTCTCTGAGCCCCAGCCTGGGTGGCCAATGCTGGGGACCTGCTGGAGGTAGAGGAGCGGGGAGGCACATGGCCAGGGACAGAGCAAGGGTTGTGTTCTTGCATGGCTCCATGAAATCGGTCCTGCCAAGCCTCTCCCTGGAACTTCTCTCTTCCTGTTGGTAGCTGTGTGGGTGGATTTCACTGGGAAGGAGAGAGATTTCTCAGCACTTTCCCCATCTGGCCCCTTTCCAAACACTTTGGAGTGCCTGTTTAACCAGACTGGCTCCAGGGCTCGTCCTTTCTGGGGATTTCCTGGGCCCATCATGCCCTTTGGGAAGTGGGCAGCGCTCACCAACTGTGGCTGGAAGGGCAGCTGCCAGGACGCCTGGCCACCTTTCTGCCTCACTGCCTGAAAAGCTCCCTCAGGAGTGTCACCTCATTGGGTCTTGGAGGCGTTTTGGCTTCCAGAGGCATCTATGAGAAGGCACTTGAGCCCTGCACCACAAGATGCGCCCAGAGCCTGCGAGTCGAGACCTTGCAGGGCTCAGCCCTTCACCTGGGGAGGGGAGCGTACTCCTGCCCAGACGCAGGCAGTGAGAACCACCTGGTGGGCAGGAAGGATCATGTAGGCCTGATGTGAGAGACTTGGGCTTTTAAGGTCAGCAGCTCCATTTCAGTCTGTGAGGAAAGCTGAGTCCGTGGTCTTGAGGTCCTGTATGGGGAAGCAAAGGATGGTGAGTCCCATCTCACAGAAGGAGGTTCAGACAGAGGCTGAGCAATTGTGGAAAGAGATCCTTTTTGCAAAAGGGAGGGGGCAGAAGGGAGGGTGCTGGGAGCAGCCAACGGGAGCATCTGAGCAGAGCCCAGCTTTGCTTCAGCTCAGGCACAGCCCTTGGGGAGATGGGGATGCATGGGTGGGGGGTCATTTCAGGCCCTAGGCATCCCCAGCCTCCTCCCTGCCCTTAGAGCCCAGCTTTGCTTCAGCTCAGGCACAGCCCTTGGGGAGATGGGGATGCATGGGTGGGGAGTCATTTCAGGCCCTAGGCATCCCCAGCCTCCTCCCTGCCCTGTTGCTGCTCAGAGACCCCCACAACTCCTGTAGCTGGTCAGCTACTGTGTTTCCACCTTGTCTCTTCTTCACAGAGCTGGAGCGCTGTCCCCAGGGTTCTGAGGTAGACGGGGTGGGACCACATGCCACAGACCGCCAGAATAAGAGGGTCCCAGCTCCCTGATGAGGGATTTCGGGCTTGGTGATAAGGAGCTCCCCTCTTTGAATTATGCAGAATCGCCTACTCATAAGCCCATTTTCCATCTCCCTCCCTCCCTGAGCAGCCATCTGGCAACTCTGTGAGCTACTGACATCCCCAGTGCTAGACGCCAAGAACAGAATGCTTGAGTGTGGGGAAGCTTTCTCTGGGGAGGGACAGAGGAGAGTTCCGTACTTGGAAGGACCCATGGACAGGGTCTGGGCTAGACACGGGGGTGATGGGAAGGGGGTTTCTGGGAGGGTCCTTGTCAAAGGGACTTGGGGGCTGAAGAGGAAGAGAAAAGGGCATTGAGGGGCTGCAGCCTGAGCTTCCCTCCTATGAGCCACCCTGCCTGATCCAAGCAGTTTCATATATCACCTGGAGTTCTTGCTGTAATTGTAGAGAATTGCAAACACACAAAGAACTGTTCCACAAAACAACAGGCCTGTACTCCTCAAAGTGCCAGTGTCATGAAGAAGAAAGGCTGCAGGCCTCTCCCAGATGACAGGAGGCTAAAGAGGCGTGGCACTGGAATGCAAGGCACAGTTCTGGGTTGCTCCTGGAATGAGAAAGAGAAGACTACCATAGAGGACATTGTTGTTATAGAGAGAGAAACAAAGCAAATGCATACATGTTCACAACTGATGCATCTAGACGAAGGTTTATGGTAATGGTACTATTCTTGCAACTTTTCTGTAGGTTTGAAGTTTTGTAGAGTAACAAATTGAATACCAGGAGCTTGAGCCCCCAGAACTACTCCCTCGCCCCAATGGGGCCAAGGGTGGGGGGTTTTCGGTCTTCAGAGAAGGCCTTCGTGGGGATGGGGAAAAGCTGTTTGTGCGAGTGTGACCACCTGCCTGGCCTGGGGCAGTGGCAAAAAGGTGATAGTGACTGGGCCAGGAGACAGGGGCCTTGTGGTGACAGGCACCTGCTTGTCTTCAGTCCTCACTCTTTCCCAATGTCCCACCCATAGGCAACTCGGGACGTGGTGCTGAGCCGGACACCAGAGCAGGAGGAGGACCGGACGGTGAGCTTGCAGAATGCTGCGGCCATCTATGACCTCCTGAGCATCACGCTGGGCAGGAGGGGGCAGTACGTCATGCTCTCGGAGGTATGGCCGGCCATGTGGCCCACCCAGTCCCTGGGAGTCAGATAGTGTGTAAGGAGATCAGATGGGGTCCCATTTGTCGCTTCTCCACTTGTCACTTCCCTGCTAGGCCGCTCTGCCACTTACTGGCCATGTGACCTTGGCAAGTCATGCAAGCCTTAGCTTCCTCATCTGCGAAATGGGCATAATTGGAGAAACCACCTCACAAGGTTGTTGGGAGGAGTAAATGAGTTTGTACACATGAAAAGCTGAGATTTGTGCCATGCACAATAATAATAAATGTTAGCTATTTTTGTTGGATGTCCACATTTTGAAAGCTCTTTCACAGATCTTATTTTACTTGCTCTTCACTATCACCCTCTCAGGTCATTCACATGTTATAGAGGTGGAAACTGAGGGCCAGAGAGGGTAAGAGACTTGTGCAGGGTCACACAGCATGCCAGTGGCAGAGACAGGGTTACCCCTGGGGTTCCAATAGGAACCCCGTGCAGGCCTCGTGCAGCCTCCCAAGGGTGGTGCCTGGGGCAGTGACCACTCTGCAAGGGTATGAGTGGCTGGGGTAGGAGGACTCCTGGTAGGGAAGTGCTGACCATTTCCCCCTCCCCAGTGCCTGGAACGAGCCATGAAGTTTGCGTTTGGAGAATTTCACCTTTGGTACCAAGTGGCCCTCTCTATGGTGGCTTGTGGGAAGGTAAGGCCCAGGGGGTGCTGGGGGTTACAAAGTCACCCTCAGGGGGTTCTGTTCTTCTCTAGTCCCTCCCCGAGGTGGACAGTGGGGCTTTTCTGGAGCTAGGTGCCTAGGGAGAAGGGGACCGGTAATTTGGAACTATTATCCAGTAGCTGGTTTGAATTTCCAGGAGAGTGAGGGGCATGGGAGGGGCCACACAGACACCTCATGTGAATCCCCTGTCCACGTGCAAGTGACGAATGTACAGGTGTGAGTCTGTGAGTCTGCAGGTGGTTTTTTCTGAGTGTGTATGCACACAGGGTCATGGAAGTATTGCTGGTGAATGGATGGGCACTGCTATAAGAGACAGGCGTGGGATGTGGTTCCAGGTGAGGGGAACATTGTGCCACATGGGCTGTGGCTCTTGTCCCACCTGCCATGAATTGGGAACTTGCCTAGGAGGGAGGGGCTGGAGGGCGTTGCAGAGCAGCATCACCCGTAGGGAGTTCAGAGGGAGAAATGTGTGATGGATGTGGCTTGGGCACCCGGGTGAGGACAGGGTCTGGAGGATGGGGGGCTCTGCCCAGAGACAGGGACTCTGGGGCATGCGTTTGCTCCCCATCCACCCAGCTCCTGTGCCGGCACCCCTGCTTTTCCCTCAGATCAGAATTGCACTTACATAAGCCTCTATTTTAAGCAGTGACATGAAAGGGAAACCTTTCCGGAGCGGGGTGCTGAGGGTGTTGGGGCTGATGATGCTATGAATGCAGGAAACAAGGTGGCATGAGCTCGCAGATCGTTCCAAGAGCTGTAAATACCCAGAGCCCTTTTGTGGGGCTGAGGGAATTCCTCACCCCGCCCCCCGCCGGCCCATCTGTGCCATGTTCCATTTCTAGTCCCGCAGAGTCTCTGAGGAGGGCCCTCCCAGCCTTGCCAGTGCCTCCTCCAGGAATGGAAGGTGTACAGGCAGCCTGGGCTGCAGCGGCCAAGGCAGGCCAGGTCCTGTGGGGAGGGAAGGAAGGGCAGGGGCTGCAGCCTGGTAGGTGGGAAGGGACGAGGGAGGTACAGCCAAGAACCTGAGGAGCCTTCCTGCCCGCCTCTGCTGGGCATTTGTCTTCCCAGACCTCCCCCCTCCCCCATCACATCAGCCCCTCCAGGGCATCTTGAAGTCACAATGTGATCATGATCAACTGGGCTCTGTGCTCAGCAGGGTCTTGTCAAGTCTCATGGAGAATTCAGAACACAGAGAGGGTGAGGCCCCCCACATCCAGGAGACAAGAAATGAGAGAAACCCTCCTAAGGAGCTGCGGGGGTGTGGATAGGTGGAGGCAGTGGGAGGGAGCAGCATTCCAGGCAGAGGAGACAGCAGGAGCAGAGGTGCAGGGCTGGAAGGAGGAGCCGAGCTCTGGAGGCACCGTCTGTCTGGGGTAGTGGGGACAGGCGGGGAGGAGGTAGGGATGGAGCTTACGTGGAGCCTGGGCAGACAGCTCACAGTGGCATGGGGTAGCTTCCTCCTGCCTCCAGGAGACAGAGAAAATGCCTCTAATCTTGTGTAATAGCAAGCATGGACCAGCAGAGGCTTGCGTCTTCGGGGGGGGGTCTTGAACCCCTGCAAGGAGCTAAGGAAAGCTGGGGCCCCCTCCTCAGAAAAATACACTGCACATGAAAGTTAGCTTTAGTTTCTGTGGGAGCCCTTGGAAGCCCCCCTGGGCTCAGGAGAAGGTGTCATGATAGCCCAGTTGGTAAGGGGTCTTCCACCTTTTTACTGAGAAACAGCTGGGCTCAGAGAGGTCTAGACACAGCCTGGCACCATCCCAGCATCTGTGAGCTGGTTTTCCAGCCTGGTTCCTTCATAGACCAGCAAGGTGAGCACAGGAATGGGCTCACAGGGAGTTGGGGTGGTCGGCGAGTTACTTGTGCAGGAGGCCCCGCAGGCTGGAGACACTGGTTTATACCCACCTGTGCATTTGGTGCAGTGGGAGATTGTTCTGGAAGGCATTCTACACCCACTTTGGGAACCCTGCACACGAAATTACTCTTCTAGTTGTCCCAGGCAGCCCTCAGAGGAGTGGCCACACCTTGCTTTTTCCAAGAGCCTAAGGTGGGAATCAGGGTGTGACTGTGCCCGAAAAACCTTCCAGAAGATGAAGCTGGGCAGATAGAAATATATCTGGCGCTTCAACGTGCGGGAATAATAGATGAGTTTGTGGCATGATTTAGGTCGTTTCTTCTCTTGGTCTCAGAGCAGCAATTGCATTGGCTGCGTTGCTAGGTAACCAGCATGACAAAAAAGAAAAAGAGCGGCTGCTCCGGCTGCTGAGTCCTCAGATGGCTCCTTAAATAGCAGCGTTTTTTGGTCTGCCTGGGGTGGGGTGGAAAGGGGTGGGGGTGGAATGTGGAGGGTCAGGGTTAGAGAATCCTGTGTTTCAAGGATCCAGAGGTCAGAGCCCAGAGAAGGAAGAGGAGGAGAAGCCTGCAGCTTGCTGGGCTGTGTAGATGAAGGAGCCTTGGTGAGGAGCTTGGAATGACATTCACACAAGAGGGTCTCGGGAGGAGGTGACGGCCTAATAGCTCCTTCAAAGCCCCCACGCAGCCTGACTGGCCCAGCCCAAACCGGGCACCCTGTGCAGCCTCCCAGCCTGCAGTAGCCAGTCATTTGCTAACACTCTCTTGTGCTTGCTCTCCTAACGCCTTGTCTCCTGAGAGCACTGGGGGATGGTGGCATTTGTCTTCTCTCCCCAGCCTTGCTGTGAGCTCCTTAGAGGCAAGAACCATGGCCTCGTCCCCCTTCCCATGGTGACTCCACAAACTCCAGCCCAGTATTGGACCCAGAGGAGGCCCTGGGCAAAGGCGCCTGCAACTGGACTAAGTCTGAGACAGAGCCAGGGAAATCTATCACATCTGGTTGAGAAAAGCTTTTTCTTAGATGGAGGATGGGTTGGCTGGAGAGAGGCGGGGGGTCCTGGCTGAACAAAGATGAGTTAGGGATCCCAGTTTTGCCAGTCACTCACACACTGCTGTGGACAGGCCAGCCTTCCAGAGCCCCCATTTCCTCAGTGGTACCTCCATAGTTGCTGGGGGGGGGTGAGAGCTAATTAACAGTGGGGAGCTCTGCACACAGTAGGGCCCGGTACATCGAGTTATCATAGTTACAGACACATGCACCTGCCTACGAGGGTGCCGCTATGAGGGTGTGCACACTGGGGGGTTACTGCTCAGTTTCCTGGGAAAGCTTTGGACTTAGTTAGAAGTGAGAGAGAGAGAGAGAGAGAGGAGAAAGAGAGAGTGAGAGTGTGTGTGTGTGTGTGTGTGTGTGTGTGTAGCAGAGAAACGGGCCTCTCTGGCCAAGGGAGTCACCACAGACAGTGTAGTGTAATGGTTAAGAGCTTAGAGCCAGACTGTATTCAAACCCCAGCTCAGCCACTTATGGTCTGTGTGTCTTTGAACAAGTTTCTTCACTGCATTTCAGTTTCCTCATCGGCAAATTAAGGTCATTGTACTTACCTTATAGGAGTGTTGTGAAAATTAAATGACTTCATATTTATAGAGCACTTAGAACAGAGATCAGCCAACTCTTTCTGTAAAGGGTCAGATAGAAGACGTTTTGACTCTGCAGGCCAAGCAGTCTAGCACAACTATTCCACTTTGCCATTGCATCATAAAAAAGCCACAGACAGTATATAAATGAATGGACATGGCTGTGTTCCAATAAAACTTTATTTACAAAAATGGACAGGGGGCCAGATTTGGCCTATGGTCTAGCACAACTATTCCACTTTGCCATTGCATCATAAAAAAGCCACAGACAGTATATAAATCAATGGACATGGCTGTGTTCCAATAAAACTTTATTTACAAAAATGGACAGGGGGCCAGATTTGGCCTATGGGCTGTGTCTTACCAACCCCTGACTTAGAACAATGCTTGGCACATAGTAGGATCCAGATAAGTGTCAGCTGCTGTTTTTGTCGTCCTTGTTATTGGTGATATCCCTGCCTGGCTCTGGGTGCTCTCCTCCCTGGCCTCCCTCCACACTTGGCCATCCTCAGCACATCCGGTCTGAGTTGCTGGAGCCTTGGGGGATCCCCAGATTCTTGTCTGGAGGTTTTCTCTAGCTCTGCCAGCTTGGTTTCTCCCCTACCAGCTTTTATGCATCCCCCTAACCCCCTGCCTCTGAGTCCCAATTTAGAGACCCCCTTTCATTCCTGTGGTTCAAATTTGAATTCCTTTTTGAGCAGTTCCATCTGTTGTCGTGTTAGCTGTTGTCACATCACCTAAGGGCAAGAGTCACAGCCTCCATTCTCCAGATGAGGAAACTGAGACCTAGGGAGGGACTTTCCTGCCAGCACCACCTGGGCTCCTCCCACTAGGCCCTCTTCCTGGCTCTTGGGAGGAAAGGGGCGCAGAGCAAGAACTGATTGTTTGGGGAGCTCCCCCACCGTAGGCATGGGGCACCTCAGTGTGTTGAGACCCAGTGCTGCAAGTGATGGTGCTCTTTCTTCTGCAGTCAGCCTACGCAGTGTCACTGCTGCGGGAGTGTGTGAAACTGCGGCCCTCAGACCCCACTGTGCCCCTGATGGCTGCCAAGGTCTGCATCGGGTCCCTGCACTGGGTGAGTGAACTGTGGGGCCAGGGCCCAGGTCCTGGCGGCCTGCTGTGGGAGGGTGACAGCAGTGGGGGTGAGCTGGGTGTGAGCATCTTCGTGTGTATGTGAAGGTATGTGCTGTATTTGGGGGGAATAGGGGGCTGCAAGGCAGGCAGGCCTGGGGCAGGAAGAAAGGCTTCTGAGGAATGGCCAGCCTCAGTCTCCAACAGCAGGCCCCCAGACTCAGGACGGCGTCTGGTTTGTGGTTTGGCCTTGAAATGTGGTCTCCAGAGAGTCACATGTAGGGAAATAGAGGTGTCTCTACTTGCCCAGCAGTGGAGGTAATGAGCAAGACCTTGGAGCTACCTGGACCAACCCATCGTTTTAGAGACTTCAGACAACCTAACATCCAGTATGTACAGGCCTGCAGGTGTAATTATGAGTGGTCCCAACCAGCTCTCAGCAGAAGGGGAGGTGGCCTCTCTGTCAGCCCCTCTGCTTCCTCTTGACTGCAGCTCCGGGCCCTTTCCCTGTGCTCTGCTGCCTCCTGGCCGCTTTCTGCCAAGGCAGCCGAGCTGCTGGAGGCTGTAGCTCCAGGTGTGCCCTCTCCCCAGCTGTTGGCCTTTACTGCAGGCTCCCGAAGACTCTCAAGAGATGAGCAGCCAGGAGCCTGGAGCCCCAGGCCTTGCCTTGGTGTCCTCCCGCTGCTTCCGGAAGTCCACTTGGCTGCTGCTCCAGGCCTGTGGGGGCTCTTGGGCCCATAGCAGTGGACCAAGGGTGGGGCTTCTGCACAGTGTCTCCTCCAACTGGGAACTCACTCTGGACAGCCTTGGCTTGCTAAGTCCCAGTTAGCCTCCCAGTGTCAGGGGTGGTCCTTAACAAGTGCACCATCCCTCCTGCATGTTGGCTATCAGCCCTGCCCCACGTCTCCTTCCCTCTGAATTAAATAGCCCCACTTCCTTCATATGCCCTGTGGGCACAGGGTCTCCTGAAGTGGGCACTTCATCTGGAGATGGTCCTCCCTGACTTCCTGCTGGCATGACACTCGCAGTCCACATCTCACCATTGTGTGCTCAGGTTGTTCTAAGGCAGCAGGGGCCAGCCTCCAGGTGCATACAGCAGGTGCTTCAGCCTTTACAACTCACCCTGCCACTCTCCCTTCCTTAGGCATCCAACAGACAAATCATGGGCCCTGGGAAGAGAGGTGATAAACCCATTGCAGACTCTGTGTTCTGACACTTCTTCCCGAGGACTGGAATCTCACTGTCCCACTGGGCCTCGCTTTCTCTCTGCTTCAGGGAGTGCTGACTCCCTGGCACAAGGAGGGTAGTAGAAACAGCACCTGATCCTCAGATCCCCTGTGTCACCGTGGATGATGGGGAGGAGAAAGCGTGGCTCCTGGTCCTCGGCTTTATGGTTCCTATCAGGGAGAATTACATAAGACAGATGCTGGAAGAGGCTCTAGGCTTTTGGAAGGGGCAGTGTGACGATGAGATGGTTAAGAGTTTTGCTGCCCACCCACTGGGTAGCCTTGAGTAAAGCATGCAGCCTCGGTATGCTTCAGTATCCTCATCTGCAAGATGGAAATAATAACAGTCTCTTGCTCAGGCATGACATAGATGACATAAAGTATGGAGAGGGCTGGATGAGTCGGGGTCTTCATGGAGGAGGCAACCTTGGACTGGGCTGGGAGGTAGCAGGGAGGATCCGGGCGGGCCCACAGCAGACCCTTCCATCACCGCCTGTTTTCCCCAGCTCCATGGTCATCAGGGAACCCTCTTGCTCCCCAAGTCTTTTGGGGAAGACTGTTGGCATCTTGCTCCCTAGAGGCAGGGTGTCCTTATGAGCAAGCACCCCAGACGTGGGTGGCATGTGGGTGCTAAGCGCATGCAGCAGAGGGTGGGGGTATGAGCAGGAGAATGCAGAAGGGTGGGCTCCCTGATCCCTAGCTCAGACCCCTGCTTGTTCCCAGGGCTTCTGAGAGGACTCGAGTTCATCACTGGGATGAAGCCCAAAATACCCATCTCTGTGGGGGGTGGGGGGAGGAGGGCATCTGTGCTCCTAAAGGCTGCCAGCTCTGAGGTAGCTGTGGGTCCACCCAGCCAACGGCCGCCCTTGCCAGGAAGCCCTAAATTTAGGTCTTCCCACCATGGAGGAGCTGTTTCCCTCAGCAGCATAATTACAGTAATTATGTGCATTCAGAGTACATGGTAATAAAATTAGGATCAAATCAGTCCAAATTGAAATCAGATGAGTTAGGAGCAAAGTAATCAATGACAACATAAATAGAAAAGCCCAAAAGGAAACAAACATGCAGACTTGTCATTAAAATTGGGGAGAAGGGTGAGCTGTTTAACCTCAGCTGAGCAGTGTATTTGGGTTTAGGGGCTGGTGTGAGCCAAGGTTTAAATCAGGCACAGGCTAGAGCGAGGTCCTGCTGGTGGGCAGGGGGTAGGCTCCTGGCAGCCTTCCCTGATCTGGAAGCCTCACCACCACCACCCCTCCACACCTCCTAAAGCTCCCTTTATTCCTGCCTTGGGCATGGATCATGTCGCGTTGTGATCACTTGTGTTTCTTGAGGGCAGGAACTCTCTTTTTTGAAGCCCCAGCCCAGAGTTCAGTGTTTTTGCTCCTTGGATGGCTCCTCCTTGCCAGTGAGCACCATCACTTGACAACAAGTTCTGCCCTAAGTGGTACTTGTCTTCCCAACTAGATGGGGAACTTCTTTACTTCCTATGTCTTGTACTGTGACCCCTTTCCCTGACAAAGAAGCCTGCGCATAGTAGGTATTACTAGTGACACACACCCCCAACTGCCAGCGATGGGGTGGGAGATCTGCGTTGGCTTCAGTGGTCCTCCCTGTGCTGTACAGCTAATTCTTGCTCCCTGGCTTGGTGGTGGGCAGAGAGTAGGCTACGGGGAGCCCGGGGCAGGCTGTCCTCCAAGGAGGCCAGGCGAGGGGCAGCCCAGAACACTCTTCTCAAGGCCTTCAGTGGGAAGAATGGCAGCGGGCAGGGGACATTCGTGCATGAGACAGGGCGCAGTTTCTGAACGGCATCTGACACCCCCATCATCTCCTGCCTTCACAAGGCGAGGGGCAGCCCAGAACACTCTTCTCAAGGCCTTCAGTGGGAAGAATGGCAGCGGGCAGAGGACATTCGTGCATGAGACAGGGCGCAGTTTCTGAACGGCATCTGACACCCCCATCATCTCCTGCCTTCACAGCTCTTCTGGCTCACATCAGCCCCCAGCAAGCCCAACCAAGCCCTGCCAAGCCCCATGCACAGGGGACAAATCTGGGGGTGGACAATTTGGTCTGGGTTGCAAGAAGGGAGACTGAAACTAGGACATTTGAAAAGCGAGTTGTGCTGGGTGAAACCGGACTGGTGGGTGGCCACATGCCCAGAGGCGGAGCACCTGCTGTCCCTGCATCCTGTCATGCCCAGAGCCAGTGTGGGACGCCCCACGCTGAGTCTGGGGCTAAGAGCAAGATTGCCCTGGGTAGGGGCCGGGCAGAGATTTGTGTGGTCACTGTTGGCTGATTCGGGGGTTTGTAGCAGGTGGGAGTAGCTGAAGCAGGTTTGGTTTGGGGTGGGAGAACCCTGGTCCCAGGGTTCAGGCTCCCCTTGGGGCGGAGAGGGCTTCCCAGGCTCTGACCCGGTGGTGGTGATGACAGCGCTGAAACCAGAGAGGCTTGTGTGGCAGCCACCTGCCTTAGCATGGCCAGTGTCCTGCCAGCATCCCCATTTTGGGAGCAGGAGGAAAGGGAGATGCAAATATTTTTTAGTATCCCTCCAAACACCGTTGTTTAAAATTTGTTTAATTTAGAAAGTTGAAAGCTTTATAGGAGGCAGAGAGGATGGGGTGTGCACGTGTGTCAGACACAGACAGGGGAGGATGTTGTAAACTGGAACAGCCAGGCTGTGATGCCACCTCTCACCTTCTTCCCGTGGGGGGACAACAGGTGGTAGTGGAAAGAGCACAGGCTTCGGAGGCAGAGACGCCAGCGTTCAGATCCCCACTCACCTGTCTCCTAGCTGTGTGACTTTGTGAGAGTAATTCACCCTCTCTTGTGCCTCAGTTTCCTCACGTGTAACCTGGAAACACTCATGTCCACTGTTACAGGGTGGCTGTGAGCATCAGGGATGAAATGAGGAGTGTACCTGCTTAGCATGTTGCTGGTACCTGATAAATGGTAGCTGTCACTGCTACAGTCCCTTCAAGATAGCAGGCACTCGGAAAGGATGTGCCTTTACATTTTTGCCTTCATTTTTCAAATTCAGAGGTGGGCAGAGCCAGGAAGATGATTAAGTGTTTATGAGGTAGGGAAGAAAGAACACCAGCTCTCCTGCCACCAGCTTGTGGAAATTAGAAAGAGTGCCTACTCCTCCCAGGAATAGAAAAGTGGATTTTCAGTAGAGCAGCTAACAGTAGGTTCTGGGCCCCCTGGGAAGGAACTAAGGAGAAACTGGAGGTACTCCTTAAACAAAGCTCTGTAGGTTCAGAAATGAACTTTCTCTAATTCCCAAGAAGAGAGGGACGGGGTGATGATTCCTGGGGTGAAACCTCTTCAGCCCACTGCAAGGTGCGTGAGACAGCCCTGAGCGCCGGCGGAGTGTACAAGCAAGGAGTCTGTCTGTGTAGGAACCAGATGAGGAAAACTGGAGAGTTACAGGAACTTGTGAAGTCACAGGAAAGTTTTTCTTATGTAAAGCAAAAACAAAGGATCAAAACATTACATGCCTCAATGCATCCTTTTCCCAAAGGGTCAGAGAGGAGAAAAATAGAAAACTACAGAGGGTGTTTGTATCAGGCAGGTTTAGCATCAGGGGACCCGCGTTGGAAACACAGTTCTGCCCTTTCCTAGGTGGGTGACCTTGGATGGGTCACTTAACTCCCCTTGCCTGAGAACATCAGCTATAAAACACCTGTTCCATCAAGTAGCTGTGGCACCGTGAAAATGCCAGGTGAGCCCTTCCTCACCCTGGAATGGCAAGGGAGGCAGCAGAGGAGGCTCTTCACCTGGGTTTTGTGGCAAGGTTGCATGGCTGCCCTGGGTGAAGAAGGCATTAAAGAGCGGTGTGTCACTGGAAAGAGAAAGGTTGAAAAAGAAGCCTGGAAACCCCTTACCCTAGAAGTATTTTGATGAGCAAGGAGGGGCCAGTGCTGTAACCTGAGCTGGTTGCAGAAGCAGCAGCCACCAGCTGTTAACTTTTGAGGCCACCAGGAGGAAGTGTCTGGAGTCTGGAAAGGGCACATGAGGTACTAGGCAGGGAGGAGGATGGCTAGGGTACTTGTAGAAGGGCAGGCACTGGGCTTCTCTGCAAACCTGTGATTAGAACAGTGTTTGCAGATCGCAGGTGGAGACCCATTAGCATGTTGTGAAATACAGCTCTTTAAAAAAAAATAAAGTTGAAATAGACCATCAGAGAATAGGAGAGGAAATATTCCAGTGCATTACCCACAGTAGCGGTGAGTCTTGAGACAGTGGGTAGGTCTGGCGGCGGTATGGATATGTGCCCTGGACCATGAACAGGGGTCCGAGAGCTTGGACCACCCAGCATAGCAGGCTGCACAGAGTCTGGGGAGTAGTAGACTCTACTTTTCCGTGACTAAGGGTCAGGCCGAGAGACAAAAGACAAGCAGTAATATCCCCTCTTTGGATTCTGAGGGCTCTTTGATGTCACTTCCTAGTTTGTCAGATCATGTAGGTATAGGGGACAGGGACTCTACTCAGATGACACTCGTCACATTAGGCTGAGATTTAAGAAAAACCCTGGAAGCCTTGACTGATTATATATATACACACATATATGTGTTGTGTACTTGTAATATTTATATAAATGTGTAAAATAAAACTAATAATAATAGCTTACATTTTTTCAAGCACTGCTCTGAGCATTCACCGTGTCTTTTCTTAAGTCCTCCCTGCAACCACCCTGAGCCTTGACTGATTATATATATACACACATATATGTGTTGTGTACTTGTAATATTTATATAAGTGTGTAAAATAAAACTAATAATAATAGCTTACATTTTTTCAAGCACTGCTCTGAGCATTCACCGTGTCTTTTCTTAAGTCCTCCCTGCAACCACCCTGTGAGGGAGACACTGTTGTTGTCTCCATTTTATAGGAGAGGAAGCTGAGGCACAGCAAAATGAAGTGACTTGCCCCAAATTAGTGAGTGACCCAGCCAGGATTTGAGCCCAGATAGTCGGGCCCCAGGGCTTGTGTCCTTGGCTACTAGGCTGCTCTCCCTCTGCGTGTAGAGCTTATTCCTGGGTGTGGAGCTGATTCTGGAGTTGGGTGGGATCCTCGTACTTCAGAACAAAGGTGGCACAGGCAAATTCTCAAGGGCTTTAGGATTCCCGCTCTTGTTTTAGATGAAGGGGAATGGTGCACTATAAAGCTTTTTGTTTTATTTTTTGCTGTGACAGCATTCTCCCCTTTTTTTTTTTTTTCCTTTTTGTCTTTTTTACTGACCGGTAACGGGATCGCAACCCTCGGTGTTGCGCCTGCACCACGCTCAGCCAGTGAGCGGGAACCGGTCTCCACATGGGATCCGAACCCTGGCGGGAGCGCCGCCACGCTCCCAAGTGGCGCACTCTCCAGTGCGCCACCGGGCCGGCAACATTCTCCCCTTTTGCTGGCTCGTCAGAGCTCTGATATATACGACATGGCTGTTGAGTGCCGAGCCAGGATTGGAACCTGTGTCTGGGACTTGCCCCCTGGTGCCCTTCTCTCCGTGTGGCTCTGACTTCAGGCCCCTACAGCCCTCCTGAGTCCTGCTGGGCCAGGTGGTCCAGGAGACAACCTTGGGCCCCCTGGACAGCCGAGGCTGGGCAGCAGGCAGCTGCAGGGTTTCCCTGGCTTTAGCCTCCCTGAGCCCTAGGTCCTCGGTCCTGATAGTGCTAAAGACAGAAGCTCAGCACCCCAGACTCCCTCATCCTTTCAATGACAGCCCTCCAGCCTGGAGGGGGCCCACTGCAAGGGCTGGTGGCTTGAGCTGGACCACAGGGCAGCTGGAGGTTGGGGATGGTAGGCAGGCAGCCCCTCATCCCCTCTCTCTGGACTGTCAGGTAGTCCCCTCTGCTTCTATTGCATTTGGGTGTTATTTTTCCCTCTCTACACAATGGGCTGTCTGCTCCTTCAGTGTGTGTGTTTGCACATAGCTCACCACTGCTGCACGCAAATGGTGGACTCAGCCCAACTCGCTTCCTATGGCTAATGGCCTCTGTCTCAGGATCTCAATTCCAAACTCCAGGGAGAGAGAGTTCACCACCACCAGCACCCCAGCTGTGGCCAGTGGTCAGGGGACACACACAGCTGCCACTCTCCTGCTGGGGGGCATGGGAGGCTGAGCAGGGATAGGAGGGGGCTGGGGCAGCACTGGCTTTGGTGCCAGGAGCTACTTGGGGTGACTCTAGTTCCCCAGCTGACTGACTTTGTGAACCTCTGACAGGGGAGATGCCCATGGTTGGGGGTTTTGGTGTCCGTGTGGCACTGAAGGGTTTGGGTATGATGATATAGCCAGCCCACTTGTTGTGGGCCGGTGATGAAGGAATCCTCCATGCTCTCTCTGGAAACTGGTGTTCTCAGTGACAGGAATGCAGGCACACTGCCATGCTAGGCACGTGGGCGGGTGACATTTCCTGAGTCGGGTGGGAGGGAGGCATGTGGGCCATGAGTGGGCATAGCTGAGGCCCCCTCTGTCCCCTGCCTGACGGCTGTGGGTGCCCCAGAGTATTTGTGAGACCCACCTCGTGTGTGCCCCTTTCTTCGTCTCCTGTGTTGTGTGTGAGGTGTGCACACGTGACCTGCACCCGTTGGTCCTTTTCCAACTGGAACAGTCCCTCCTGCTCCCAGGACAAAAACAGCCCCAGGCCTTTTTCCCCTGAAAGTTTGAGCTCCTTGTCTCAGGGAGGGAGCAAGCACATGGGGAGCCAGAGTGGCAGGCTGCCTGCTCTATGGGGCTGCTGATGGCCAGCAAGGCATATGTTCCGAGCCCAGCTCAGAGCCCTGCCTGCCCCAGCCTTGGCTCCCCGCTCTGCCGAGCAGGGCAGATGCAGACACGAGCCCATAGAGGCCACTGAGCAAAGGAGCTACATAGACTGCCTGGTCTTTCTTGGGGTCACGCTCTCAGCAGAGCTTGCCTGGGGAGCTGGGATCTCTGGGGCAAAGGCAGCTTCTTCCTGTGAGAGGTAGTGCCATGTGACCTTGAGCTCTCATTCTTCCACTCAGTGGTTGTGTGGCCTTAGACAAGCCACCTGCTCTCTGGTCATGCTGCCCACAGAAGAGGAATTGCAGATCTTCTCTGTACTTGCCCAGCGCTGCCCCAGGCTGGTGATTGTGCAGGCGAAGCCCCCCATCCCCCTCCTCAGTGACCTTTGCCTCTCCTTTTTGCAGCTGGAAGAGGCGGAGCACTTTGCCATGATGGTGATCAGCCTGGGGGATGAAGCGGGGGAGTTCCTCCCCAAGGGCTACCTGGCATTGGGTCTCACCTACAGCCTGCAGGCCACCGACGGTGAGTGCAGGCCCTAGGAGGCCTCTGCGTGGGAGTGACTCAGGCTTCCTGACTGCCTCCCAGGCATCTTGCCCCTCCAGTGCCCGCCTCCTCACCACTTTCCCATATGCGCCGTCCACGCCTCTGGGATAGACGTGCATGCGTGCACACGTACACACACCCCCGGTCCCATTTCCACTCTCTTGCTCAGACTTGCGTCACTCTCAGCCATGTCCCCCACTCTCCTCTTCATGGGCCCAGCCTTTCCTACCCTCCAGGCTCAGCTGCTACAAAGCCCGTGCTGATCTTCTCTGTGGAACTCCTGGTGCTTTCTGTCTGTAATGCGCTGTCAGCCTCAACCCCATGGTGTTTTTGTTCTGGTTCTCATAGGCCTGCCTTTACCCTCAGCACCACTGCAATCTTCTGGGGTCTTCTAAGCCCCCCCAACACATGGCATAGTGCCAGGTACACAGCAGGTGTTTAATAAATACTTGTGTTTGGCTGATGGAATTCCAGTCCTACCTTCCCCAAGCCTGGCATTCTCTCCCCAATCCTGCCAGGTCAACCGTGTGTCTCCCCCCATGGGACAGCCACCTGATTTTGTATCCTTTCAACTTGAGGGACAGGTAGTGATGGGCCCCCACCCAGACCAAACCTGGAATAGTAATCACCCACCTCCCCTGAATGCCAGACCCTGGTAGCAGGGCTCTGTGCAGGGAGCCCACTTCGCATGGCCTCACAGGCCCAGCACAGTGGGAATTAACTGTGATGTGCACAAAGAAGGGAGGAAGCTGTGTAAGAGAGTCTAGTGTGTGCTAGCACCCTGCTCTTTGGTGACCGTGGTCGTGTCTTCAGGTATCGGTGAGCTCTGCTTAGGGAGCACCAGGGTCTCTCTACACACCAGTCAAATGAGGTAGTTATTAGATCCTTTCTTGAAGTTTGGTTTGCTTTGACCAAAACACCCTCCTTTTGCCTTTAACCTTCTCCAAACAGCGGTTGCTTTCTAAGCTTTCTGTGCTGGGGAGCCCTGACCACTCTCAATACCTAGTCCTTGTTAGCGGGATTCTGATCCGTTCTGAGGTGGGCCCTGGACACAGTCATGTGACAGCTTCCCAGGGGGTTCAGCATGCAGCCAGGGCTAAGAAACCCTGCCCTGCTGCATTAAAGTGGGATGCAATTTACTGGAACGTTTCCTGGTTCTGGTTAATGCAAGTATCTTCATGGGTAAGAAAGCCCAGTCAGAGGTGGTGGCCTTTCTGTGGAGGCTGGGGCCTCCTGAGGGGGATGACTGTGCCATGGAATGCTTGTAGGCTTGGGCATTTGAGAGGGTCAAGGTGGCCCAGGTGGCAGAGAAGGCAGTGGAGAGAAGGAACCAGCATGGCAGGAAATGTGCTGGGAGGCCAGGGCGACAGACAGCATCAGCCCGGGGCTGCTGCAGTTTGAGGTTTGCCAGACAGGGCTCTGATAGAGCCTCTCCCCGCAGAGCTTGTGTGCCCTGGGGATGGGGGCAGGGCTGGGTCAGCACCTCTTCAGCCACCTGATGGCTCGTCTTCATCCTGTCTTCTGCAGCCACCCTGAAGTCCAAGCAGGATGAACTACACCGGAAAGCGCTGCAGACGCTAGAGAGGTGAGGAGCCCGGGATTGGCACAGAGGCCCCTCTTGCCTTTGGAGGCAGAAGGTGGCACGTCACATGCTTTACCTCATCAGACCTTCTGATGTGGACAGAGCAGAGGTTTCTGTCCCTGTTTTACTGATGAGGAAACCGAGGCTCTGAGAAGTGACACGGGAAGTAAGGAAGGACCTTTGGGGTGGTGCAGGCTCCAGGCCTCCGGCCTTCAACACCTCCTGCCTCTGCCTTCTCTGGCCCATCCCTGCCTCCTCCCTCTGAGCGCCCCCGTGTGTCTTCCTCCCTCCAAGCACTGCTGTGGCAGTGTTGCCAGGTAGGCCCTGCCCCCAACTCCTTATGCCAGCTTCATTGGAACACGTGGCTCCCCAACCCAGGGAGGGAGCAAATTCTAGTCCCTGCCCACCTCCTCTGAGCTCCAGGAAATGGGGAACTGTTCCCACTCTCCCCACCAGCCTTTCATTCCTGAGGCTTCCAGCCCAGAGAGGCCATTCCCAAGACCTCTGTCCCAATGTGGGGAGGCTATAGCCAGGGCAACAGATGCTCAGAGGAGAGGGGCCAGGCCTGCATAGTATATACATGCTGTCTCCCCCACCCTTAAACCTACCCCTCCCTCAGGGTCTGTCACCTCAGTGCCAGCCCTCTCAGAGCCACTGTCCCCTGCCTGGGGCTGCCTGTGGGCCTTCTGCCTGAACCATCGTCTCCCAGCTGGGTACCCCTCCAAGGCAGGCCTGGCAGAATCCTCCAAAGAGTTGCCTCGAGAGTGCCCAGCACAGGGCTGGCTTGCTGGGGACCCTGATCACCTGCTGGTTGCTGGACCCTTGGTGCCTGACTTGTTGCTCCCTCTCCCCATGCAGAGCCCAGCAGCTGGCGCCCGGTGACCCCCAGATCATTCTCTACGTCTCCCTGCAGCTCGCCCTTGTCCGACAGGTGGGTTGTGACCGTTCTTAACCCCCAGATCCCTGCGCTGCTGATCTTCTTCTCACACTTCTGCTTACTAGCTGTGTGACCCTCCAGAAGTGACTTAACCTGTCTGAGCCTCTGGTTATTTGTTGTGTGAGCACTTTCTACCTCTCCTGAGAGAGGCTTAATGAGGATGAAGTCAGACGATGTGGCTAAAGCCCCTGGCCCATGGTGAACTCACAGGAGGGGATTATTTTTTCTTCCGACTCCTCCTACAACATTTTAGGCTCCTGAGAAGCTGATGAGTGACCCTGACAAGCATTTGTTAGTGTCCTCCCCACCTGCCAACCTTCCCCGTGGGTCTGGGGAAATAGCAGGGTTGGCACATGGAGCCGTTTCTGGATGGGCTTCTGTGTGGTCCTAAAGCTCTTCCCTGAACCTGTGGACACCACTGTCAAGCCTCGGCCTCTGGGTCCTGATAGGGGCCTCCCGTCCAACCACCTCCCCCCCACCAGGACCACCACCCGCACCCACAGCTCTCCAGGCAGACCGGCCTTCTCCCCAGCTGAGCAGCTGCACTGTTGGTGCTGCCAGGACTCAGGTTTTGTCCAGGGACTCCCCACCCAGGCCCTCAGAGTCTCCTTTGCTTTCACACATGCACCTTGGCCCACAGGCTGGCACTCTGGGCACATGCACAGCCTCTGAAGCAGGACCTCTCAGGTGGCCTGGACCCAGTGCGTGCTGGCTCTGACATCCCCACCTGACTGCTCAGGGACTCAAACAAGCCTTGGGCTCCTGTAGCACAGCTGTTTTCACTGTACCATCCAGAAATTGGCTGAACTCCAGAAAGAAGCCCACAGAAGCCCCATTGTACTCGTGTTGGGTGAGGGCAGACCCAGCTACTATGGGTGGGCTATGTCTCCCACCCTAGACTGGGTGAGCCCCACCATCTAGTGAGGTAGGTGACAGGGGCCCTGTCATACACCTGAGGAAACTGAGGCAAGCCAGCACTGAATTCAGGTGTCTGATCCAAAGCCTGCCCTGCCACAGCTGAGAAGTCCCATTTGGCTGTAGGTATCCCGCTCCCCTGGCCCACCTGGAGACGGGGCCCTAGCAGCCCTGCTCACCAGCAGGAGGCTGGTCCTACTGGGCAGGGTTGGCTTCTAGCCTCTCCTCTGGACAGCCCAGCTCCCTCTGTCATTGCACAGTGACTCTCACTGCTGGGACCCCTGCCTTCTGACCGCATGCCTGGACCCTCATCCAGTGCTCTTGTTGCCCTAGGTCACTCCGTATCTGAGTCATTCTTTCTCACTCTCCAGCACCTCTGTCTCAGCCGTCTTCTCCACAGCAGCCCTGCTGTCACTCCCATGGTCGCTCCTGAGGTTGCTGGCTGTTTCTGTTCTTTCCCCCTGCACCACCTCTCCCAACGTCTTCCTCCATCCCTTCTCCGCCTCCGGGCTGCACCCACTTCTCTGACCTCTGGGTCCTGGGCCAGACACTGGGTACCCCTGCACCTCCTTTTCCAGGATCATCACTCTGCTCCCAGGAACACCTTTGGTTATGCATTTTTTAATCTTTCGAATCACTCACCTGTCTCTGATGAACAGCAGCCATCCTCCCAGAGACATGGCTGGGCTGGGCCAGTGGTGCCTGGTGCCCAGTTTCCTTGGGAACCCCAGGTCTTGGCAGCCTCAGGGGGCTGAGGGCCTCTGAATGGACTCTAAGCTAGAGTCCTAGGCTGCCTGGGTCTCTGAGACCTCCTGCCTGTCCATCCTGCCATGAGCACATCTGGCTGCCTGAGCAGTGAAGGCCGCAGATTTGGATAATGGAGTCTGCTCTGGCAGAATCCCCAGGGTAGGAGCATCCTCAGGGTGGCACAGAAAGGCTGAGCCAGTGGCCACGCTGATCCTAGCTTCCTCTTCATGCTCTCCTTGACCTATCCACAAAGGAAGGTCACTGCAGGAGAATGCTGGGCCTGGCAAGACTCTTCAGAAAAGACTCATGAGGTTCCTAGAGGATGGAGCCCTGGTGAGGACAGAGTTGCAGGAGCCACACAGCTCCCAGGCCCGAGAGCACAAGGGAACATGTGCCTTGGATGAGAAGGAAGAATCTTCCCTCTTCCTTAGCTGCCTAGGCTTTGAGGGGCTTGAAGAGGGAAACTCACACTTCAGAACATGTTTGCGATGCTGGTACTGTGCAGAACGCTTTTCATAGTGTCTCATCCTTGTAGCCACTGTAAGAGTATGGCTGTTATCCTCATTTTGCAGCAGAGGAACTGCAGCCCAGAATGGGGAATGCCCCTTGCCCCCTGAGGTGCCAGTTGGGAAGTAGCAGAGCTGGGGTCCACCCTCTGATCTGACCCAGCACCCGAGCTCTTGCCACTGAACTTCTGAGGAGGAGGGGTACTTGTCTGTGAGCCTCCTTCGGGTGGTTTCCCCATCGGCACAGGAACAGGTCCAGAGAGAGGGCCAGGCCAGCTCTGGGCCTATAGCTAGCTGGCTGTCTGAAACAGGGCCCGGCCCTCCAGTCCTCTCTCCCTCTGTACCTGGTCACAGCCTCGCACCTGCCGAGGGCTAGATGCTGAGGGGAGGGGCAAGGAGAGGAGTGGCGTGTCAACAGGGAGCAGAGCCTTAAGTCAGGGTGCTGCTCAATGAAGCAGCAGCGTGTGTTGGGGAGGAGAAACAGGCATCCTGGGGAACAGGGCTGGGCCAGAGGGGCTAGGAATGAGGTGGGGGTGGCGGTCAGCTGAGCCCTGCCATGGCCCTGAACCAGCAGCATAAGAGGAGGCTGGCCTTGGGCCGTGACAGGGTTTGAGTCTAGGCCCCCCATTTACCCAGAGCAGGCTCAGCAGCCTGTGTGAACCCACAGAGAGCCCTGGCTGGGAGTAGGAACACCCATGGGAGCTCCTGCTCTGCTACTGATTGGCCCCACATGCTGGGCCTCTTGGGGTGGGCAAGGGTAGAAGATAAACAGGCATTTTTGTTTGCACGTACATTCACTCTCAACCCTCTGGGGTCAAGTGTATACCTAATTTGCAGATAAGGACACTGAACTCAGAGAGGCAGGCGCACCAGGAACAAAGGCTGGAGAGCACAGGGCCAACTCTAGAAGCCGGCTCTTGTGAATTCATAAACACACTCTCCTGCAGCACCCAACAGGCCGAAACTAGTGTGCTCAATCAGCAGGGGTGCAGCTGAGCAGGGGCGCAGAAGCCGCGGGCCCTGGGTGAGTTTGGTGGAGGACTGCAGAGGGCTGCCTCCTTGCAGATCACATGGGACTGCTTAAGGAGCTCCTGCAGCCACCAGGACTGCCCAGCCTCTTTTGAAGAAGAGTGTTTAATTGGTGACTGCCAAAATTCCTTTTTCTCCTTCATGCTTGTGGAAACTTTTCCTGGACCCTGCCAGGGGTGTGCAGGCCTGGACATGGTGGGGATCTTTTCTCTCTGAGAGTAGCAGCCTTGCCAGCTGAGCAGTGGGTGGGTGGAGATGCCAATAGGTGGAATCGGAGGTGAAGACAGAGGCAGTGGTTGTCACTCACTTTCTGATGGGGAAACCACCCGAAGGCGGCTCACAGACAAGTACCCCTCCTCCTCGGAAGCTCAGTGGCAAGAGCCCAGGGGAATCTTGGGACCCATTTGGGGTGTCATGCTAAGAATGGTTTCTTCAGAAAAGGGGAGTTTCTCGAACCATCCACATCCTCCCCTGGGGTGGGCCATGAGCAGTGACCCACCCTGGCCAGTTGGCAGACAGCCAGGCAGGTGTGTGGCCTTAGCCTAGAAACAATCTCCCTGTGGGATGTGCTGGGGGGTTGGTCCTCACCTGCAGATGGGGCTGTGGCCCCAGCACCGAAGCCCTCAGCAGCTAGATCTGGTAGGTGTTGGAGTCCCACCTGGCAGGGTTGGCAGGAACAGTAGAAGGTGCCCTTTTCTGCTGTACCTGCTGCCCCTGGGCAGCCGCACCCATTGTCACCCAGCACTCCAAGGAGAGAGGCAGTAAACACTAGCCAGTGATAGTTGGGGCTCATGTTGGCCTCTGGTCTCTTCCCCAGTGCTGTGAACTCTGCCCACACCCGAAGGGAAAGGCTTTCCTCGGGCCATACCTGTGGTGTCTTCCTATGGTCAGACTCTCCAAGTGTGGCTTTCCTGACCCTGTGTGATCTGGCCTCTTCCTGTCTGTCCAGCCCTACTTCTTTTGTATAGAACCAGGCTTAGGGCTGGCCCGTGGCTCACTTGGGAGAGCTGGTGCTGATAACAGCAAGTCAAGGGTTAAGATCCCCTTACCGGTCATCTTTTTAAAAAATTTTTAAAAAAATATAAATAAATAAATAAATAAATAAATAAATAAAAATAGAACCAGTCTTAATTCATTGAATTGAAAAAAAAAAATACCCCACAAAAAGCAAGACTAGAATTTAGATAGGCCCATAGAGCCAGCCCTTGGCTCACTTGGGAGAGTGTGGTTCTGATAACACCAAGGCCATGGGTTCGGATCCTATATAGGGATGGCCGGTTAGCTCACTTGGGTGAGCGTGGTGCTGACAACACCCAAGCCAAGGGTTAAGATCCCCTTACCGGTCATCTTTAAAAAAAAAATAAATAAAGAATTTAGATAGGCCCCACACTGCTCACGTTCAAGGTCTCCCCCTCTTTTGGGTACCCGCCTCTGCAGGCCTCTCTGCCAGCCTCTCTGCCTTTGGTCAAGCTGCACCCTAGCCTGGAGCACCCCCTTTTCATCCCTCCCCCCATGCCCTGGGCCGGACTCTACTGACCCCTGTGAGCAGAACTCCAGGAAAGCATCTGGCCTCTTGTAGCTTCCACTCCTCCCGGTCATGAAGTGCTTCCCAGTGTCTACCTAAGTATTTTGTGCTACGTTGTAAATCTGCATCTCTTGATACCCTCCTTGGCAGCCACTTGGGGGATGTGTTTTCTTGCAGCAGCATCCCTGCCCCAGCGCCCGGGGCTCACCTGAGTTGATCCTGGTGTGCACCCCTTGGCAGCTGGCACCAGCGTCCTGGGAGGTTTGTGCCTGGGGAAGGTTGCTAAGCTGGTGGGTTTCCCTTGGCAGATCTCCAGTGCCATGGAGCAGCTGCAGGAGGCCCTGAACGTGTGCAGGGATGATGCCAATGCTCTCCATCTGCTGGCACTGCTCTTCTCTGCCCAGAAACACTACCAGCCCGCCCTGGACGTCATCAACATGGCCATCACCGAGTACCCCGAGAACTTCAAGTGAGTTCCCTGGGGGTGCTGCTGGGCCCGGGGCTGGCCAGCCACTGATGCAGGTGCCCATGCAGGCCCACCTGCCATGTCACCAGCTAACACACATGGAGTAAGCACCCATTGTGTGCATGCTCCCTGGTGGCGAGACGGGGGCGAGGACCAATAGGGTTGGCAAATAGCCATGGTGCTCTGCACCAAGAGGTGCTGGGTAGGGAGTGGGGAGCTTATTGGGGGACTATGTGGACTGCAGAAGAGACTGTGCTTGAATGCACGTGCACCGGCTGCTTCCACCGACCCTGGGCTGTGTGTAAGCCTCGGGAGGACACCAAACTTGTGTACTTTAATCATAACCTTGATACAGCCAAGGATGGGATTCTAATACTGGCTGGGCTGGTGGAGGCCAAGGGGGCCATCCCCCTTCCTCCAAGCAGGTCAGCTGCCTCCCCTTTGCTGGCAGTTGGGGGAGGGAGTTATCTTCCTCCGGGGTGGTCCTGCCACAAACCCCACTCCCCTCCCCATAATCCCCCATTGCGCTTGGCCAGGTGGCAGTGGGTGGGGCAGAACTAGGCCCTGCTGCCCCCACCCATACACAGAGGATCCACTGCCACCTGGCTAGGACATTGAGGAACAAGAACCATGCTGGGCCAACTGAGGCAGGAGGGTGCGTTGCTCTGTGGCAGGGAACTAGGGGAGGTCATCTTTTGATATCTGCCCTCCTCCCCTCGGGGCAGTGACGCTAGGTATAACAGGCTTTGTTTCTCTGAATCCTCTGATCCAACACTGAGAGGCCCTAGGGCACCCCGACTCCCACCCTGTTCCTCCTTAGGGTCTGAGGAAGGCCATTTAGAACCAGCCCAGTACTGTCCCACTGCAGACAGCAAGGAGGAAGCTGGGGTCCTGGTTATCCTGAGAGGTGACTCACACTGGCAATGTAAACAGGTTCACAAAGAATTAGAGAAAATTGGCATGTGTCTCTGCAGTGATGGGTAACAGAGGGGAGCTGCAGTTGTTCCAGCCCAGGGAGGTTCTCTTCACGGGGAGTCTGGGCTTCCACCTCTGTCCATCACTAGCCCGTCAGAGACAGGGGTGACCACAGGGCAAACGCCTGGCGCCCTGGGCTTGCTTCAGAGGATGTTGCAAGTGGTTTTGCCTGTGGCCTTTGCCAAGGCGCTGAGGACTGCTGTGGACGGCTTCCTCTACACCAAGGTCAAAGAAAGGTGCTTTGGGAACGGCAGAGTTTCCTGAATATAAACTCCATCACGTGCCTTCCTGCAGAGTGGTGCCCCAGTGGATAAGACTGAGGGCCCTGTTCATCCTGCACATTGTGTGGCCAACGACATAGCCTGTCCTTTGTGGTTGAGGGACAGCCCTGATTCTGAGCCTTCACCCAGCCTTCAGGAAACTCTTAAAGTCAGAATCTCTTCACTTTAGAACAGGCAGGTAGCTCAGGGAGTCCTGAAGTAGATAAAACAGTGTGTGTGGACAAGGGATCAGTTGCCTGATCTCATTAATCCCACATACAATACAGCAATACAGGGTGACGGCATTTTATTTCATTTTTAGTTTTTAATGAAAATGCACAAAAGACAAAGGTTCTCCAGTCCCAGTGCTGGCACATGACGTTTTTTCAAACTCCATCCTCACACCTGTCTGGCAGGATCTGACCCACTGCTGCTGGCATGTGCTCCCACACCCCCATGGCAGTTAGCAGAAAAGTGTCATGTCACCAGTGTTCAGGAAATGGGAGATTAAGTCAGTGAAGTCACAGCACATCAGTCACCTGCTGAAAACCCTCCAGTCTCCCCACTTCCCTTAGAATGCAATCCCACCTCCCTGTATGGACTTCAGGCCTGGCTTGATCCAGGCTCTCGTCCCCTCATGCTCACCTCTCCTCTCCCCAGGCCTCCTGCCTTTGGCCTCTGCAGGTTCTGGGTCTTTTATGTGGAATACCCCACACCCCAGACAATTTAACAGCTTATTGTTCAGGTCTTGCCTCACGTGTCCCGTCCTCTCAGGGACACATGCCTCCCCGATCCGGTGTGAAGGAGCCCCCACTCTCCCCAGCTGCCGTCTACCTGGAACCCAATTTTTACTTCCTCGCAGAAGATGAACTGAAGTTAGCTGGCTCCTGTGCCCGTTTATTCTATCTCCCCGACCAGGGTCTGCCTGGCCCCCGCACCCAGTGCGCAGTGGACATGCAAGAGGAACGATGCTGAATTTAGATATTTTGAATCTAAGGTGATCGATTTAATTTTTGTGTGTCTGTGTCTGTGACTGTGTTTGTGTCTGTGCATGCCTCTGTGTGCGTGTGTGTGTGTCTGTGCCTATGTGTACGTGTGTGTGTCTTTGTGTGCTGACTGTGTTTGTGTCTGTGCATGCCTCTGTGTGCGTGTGTGTGTGTCTGTGCCTATGTGTATGTGTGTGTGTCTTTGTGTGCCTGTGTGTGTCTGTGTATGTCTGGGTGTACATGTGTGTGCCTGTGCATATCTGTGTGTCTTTGTGTGCCTGTGTATGTCTGGGTGTACATGTGTGTGCCTGTGCATATCTGTGTGTCTTTGTATGTGTGTGTTTACTGTTTGGTCATTTAGACTTCAGTGGAAGCATAAGTGGTCAAGAAAAAGGCTTAGGCCCTCAGGGTGGGGAAAGGGTAGGGTCTTCTCACCCACCCTGGTCTGAGCGTATATCACAGAAGAAACAAGAGGCTAGGCTAGGCGCGTTGTCAGATGTTTTTTCAGCAAGTCCTTTTTACAAATGAAATCTTACATGGAAACCGAGACTGTAGAGCAGATCGGTTTTCATGGAAGCAGAGGAAGGAGATGTGCATCCTGCCCCCTCAGCCCTCCTCATACCCCTGGTTCCAGCTCAGGAGGCCTTTCCATTCCAGCTCTGGCATCTTACTGCTCGGCGTCTCTTCCTACCTTCTGAGCTGACTGCTTCCTGCCAGGCAGAAGCACCTCCCCTGGTGTGGGGAGGCCAGCTCCCCGATGGAAGCCCACGCTGTGTGAGGTGTGGCAGGGAGGGGGCTGCCCCGGTGTGGGGCCAGCCTCTGCCTCCTCCTCCATCTTCCCGGGCTCCTGGGCCTGGCTAGGAAGCCGTCTCTCACCCACATGAGCAGTGTGTGTGCCCCTGCTACTGGCCTTCCCCCATGTGCTGTCTGCCCCCTCCCTTCCTCCCACCCTCGGGAAGGTGCTAACTCCACCAGGAAATGCTCCGCTCGCTGACAGAGTCTTAATGGCAGGCGGGCAGGCCCCTGGACCTGAACCGTGACATTTTGTGCATGTCTGTGTATATCCGGGGAGATGGCTTTCTCAGAGGGGGCCTAACCCCAAGAAAGGTTGAGGAGCCCTGTGCAGATTGTGCTGTTTGTCAGTGTGCAGCATAACTGTGCTGTCTCGGGTGCTTGCTCAAGCTTGCAAGGAGCTGCTGGAAAGCAGTGCCCCCACTTCTGCAGGCAGGAGCTTCAGGGGGCGGCCTCTACGTGGGAACATCTCTCACACAGACATCACAGAGCCACTGCAGGGGATTCAGAAGCTCTGGAGGGCTGCGGCCGTGGATAGGCAGCAGGGAGACAGCTCTGAGGCCAGAAGGAGAGCATCTGAGTTTCACCCCCTGAGACCTCATGGCTCTTCTGTTCCCTGTCACTGTAGAGTGTTGTGCTGTGGAGCGTTGGGGGACCAGCATGTCTCATCCCCAGGAGTGCCTCACTCTTCCCAGTCTGCTTGTCCAGGAGCAGCAGGGGAGGAGGGTGGAGCAGTGGCAGGTTCTTTAGCTTGAGCCACTGTGACCTCTGAGTGGCCACTTGAGCCTCACCTCCAGGACTGTGAGGAGCTCTGTTTTGATCTGAGCTCGCCCTAGAGAGCTGCAAAACTACCTGGAAAAAATACAGGGGTTTCTGGCCTCCAGAATGGTGAAAGAAGAAATCTCTGCTGTTTGAAGCAAATATGTGTACATACACACACACATACACACACACACACACACACACACACACACACACTTAACATACATATATATTTTGCATGTATGTATGTAAGGCTGGGGTAGGGGCTGGGGAATCCATCTACTACCCAGCTCTGTCAAGTGACCATAGGGTGTAACCATGTCTTTTTGCAAATAAGTTAATACTGTTCCCCACAGATGAAACCCTGGAGTACAGAAAGCCATGGATTAGCAGGAAATGTCATTGAGTCCATTATGGGTCAGGGATCACTGAAAAATGTCATTGCTCTTCGATTGACACTGTGTCCTGCTTCTCCAGCTGCTCCCTGCACTGGGAACAGGCTGTGTGTGGCTCCAGCTGTTGCCAAGGCAGTTAATTAACCAACCGGTCCAGTAAACATTGCTGCAGCAAAATAACAAAATCAAACCCCCTTCGTCCTGACCTCATCAAGGTCTGTATTCGGACCTTAGTGTCTTTAAGTGTCAGGGGACACTTAAAGGCTTGTGGTCTGGTCTCTCTTCCAACTCACAGACGGTGGTCCCAGTGCCTGAGGCCTTTTAGAGGATTTTCCTTTCTGCAAAGGCCAGCAGCCTATTGGGTCCCAGAGCCTGCCACAGTAAAGGAAGAAGGTGGCAGACCAATGTTGGGGTGTAGGCTTTGCCTGTGTCACCACTTTGGAGAAGCCTGACACAGGGGCAGAGGCCAGTGGGTGGATGGATCCCTGTCCCCATGAGCTTATCCCTGAGTGAGAGCCACAGTGTGGTCCCTCGAGTTGTCTGTCACTTTCCTGTGCCACCTGCAGTACCTCCTCTCTTTGCCTCTGTTTTCTCATCTACCAATAGACCGATGACATCTGTCCTGTCTCCCTCTGCTTCTGAGGTCTGTCGTGAGGCTCAGACAACCACAGTGTGGTCCCTCGAGTTGTCTGTCACTTTCCTGTGCCACCTGCAGTACCTCCTCTCTATGCCTCTGTTTTCTCATCTACCAATAGACCGATGACATCTGTCCTGTCTCCCTCTGCTTCTGAGGTCTGTCGTGAGGCTCAGACAAGAGAAAGCGATTTACAGCCGTGTTTAAGGCGGCAGCATGGAGGGCTGTAGGAGGCTGCCCACTAACAGTGTCAGACTGGAACCTGGGACCCGAGGCGGCTGGCCAGGAGGTAGAGGAGGGAGGCACGGGCAGCGAGGCTGGCCTGGAGCAGAGGCAGGGAAGAAAGCTCTGGGAAATGGTTTTTAAGCTCCTTAGCTGTGCAAGAGGTCACCATTCCCATACAGGCAGCCTGTAGACTCCTGGAGAAAAATCCAGCTTTTGTAGAGTCTAAATTTTGAAAACCCTTCTGAATTCGGGACTCAGAAAGCAGAGCAAAAAGGATGTTGATTTCCATGCTGTGGGGCGACCTTTAGTTAATGGAGCTCGGGTTTAAAACGGCAAAAACGTGATGAGGCAGAGATGGATGGCCCAGCAGGGACAGTGTGAACCTAGCACAGTGGGAACCAGACACTCCTAGCAACTCCCTGAAATCCTGTGGACTTCCAACTAAGCCCTGGGCACATCTGCCAGCCAGGCTGTCCCTGGCCAGCCAGCCAGGGGGCCACAGGGGGTGAGCTCCAGAATGTGAGAGGTCCCCTACAAGCTTGGAGATGCCTTTGCTAGTCCTTTCTTCTCATTTTGGGTGTGGGAGGCAGCTGAGAGGCCCAACCAGGGAGGGGCCAGAATATGGGGTCAAGGGGAACTGGCCACTGATAAGCGTCCTTCCTGAAGCCATAGGCTCTGTGGGGTGATGGTTTTAGGTAACAGATTCCTTGTGCTTTAGTCAGGCCATTTGTAGTGAAGGTCACCATAGTAACCAAACAAAGTTCCTGGGCTAATGATGGGAGCTTTCCAATAACCAGCCTGTCAGTCACTGCTCCGCCCTAGGCTGGCAGCCTGCCAGGCTGATTTTGAAAACCCAGGCTGTACCTAGGGCAGCAGAGGAGCAAATGGTTTCCCCTTCTCCTCTCCACAGTCAGCAAGGCCGCCTCCTCCCACCCGCCAAGCCCCCTTCTGTAGGGATAGGCCCTCTTGGGAGTTTCTGCTGACCCAGCCCTGGTCCTGGGACTTGGGAAGTCCTGGGGGAAGGTGTGCCGGGCCCCAGAGGCACTCCCCAGCAAGGGAACAATATGGCCCTCTCCACAAGCCAGAGCTCACGACATGTAAACAAATGCAGCAAATGCAGCCGCCTCAGCCTTCTGCCCCAGGAAACCTAGACTGTTTTGGAAAATGTTTGAGCTGATAACTAGGTATTAGCTGGGCCAGATCTTGGCTGAATCCAATTGAGGCCAAAGTTGAACCTCAAGGGCACCTCTCTGATCTACCTGGCCTGCCTCACCTTTTTTTCAGGTTGCATGTGAGATATTTCTAGTGGTGCATTCCACTGAGCAGAAGGGATCAGAGTCCTGGGGCTTCTGTTAACATTTCTGAGTTAAACTCAGTGTGTTTATTTGATTGTTCTTATTAGGGACTGGTAGTACATCTAAAGGATGCTTAAGATACCAGCACTCCAGTGAGGAGGTTGGAATCAGAGGCATTAACACAAACATAGTTTATCACTTTGCTGGGTTCACTAAACATGTTTGGCTGCCACAGCCCCTGATGAGGACACCAGCCATCAAGTAGACCTGCAGGCCATGTGGCCAGGGGAAGTGCTAAGCCAGTGTAATCACTGGAGCATGGGTCTTCCCCAAAGCTCAGTTCCTCATCAGCTAAGCTGGGCTAACGTTCAGCATTTCCTGTTATTGGTTGTCTCAGGAGGCCTCCGTGACCTTGCTCTATGTGACATGTATAGGTTGTAAGATACAGTCCTCAGTCTGTGGTCAGTGTTCTGCTTACGTTCAGACTTAGGAAGGTAGATGACATAGGTTGTTTTGTTTGGGAAAGAGAGGAAGGAAAGGAAGGAGGAAGAAAGATATTTGCAGGTTTTTCCAAAAGGAATTCTTCATTTGCCTTCACAGGTGGTTTTAGTCCTGTGCTTCCTGATACTCACTCATTGATCTCCTTGCTTACCCCATGGGCTGTGGTCTAGGTATGTGATTCTCTGTAGCAGGGGTGGCCCAGACCCAAGGCAAAGCCTTTCTGCCCCTGGGAGAGGGCTCATGCCCACAAAGCAGGGCTGACCTCCTCTCTGCACTAGGTCCCTGAGGGTCTGTACTGGGCTGGAAACCTTCCTTTGTTTCACCAAAGGGCCTTCTTTCTGGAAGTTCTTCCACCCCTGTATGATTATGAAAAGGCTCATGTTCA